GAGGAGAGAGAGAGAATTTTTAATATTTATTTTTTAGTTCTCCGCGGACACAACATCTTTGTTGGTATGTGGTGCTGAGGATCGAACCCGGGCCGCACGCATGCCAGGCGAGCGCGCTACCGCTTGAGCCACATCCCCAGCCCCCCTAAGCAACACTTAAGGGACACTTTCTCTAAATAAAACACAAAAAAGGGCTGAGGATGTGACTCAGTGGTTTAGCAACCCAGGTTCAATCCCTGGTACCAACAAAAAAAGCAAATTAAAAAAAATTTTAATCATTTTTTAAGGTGCTTGGGACAAAACCCAGGACATGTTAGGGAAATACTTTACCACTGAGCTACACCCCCAGCCCAAAACTCAAGTCTTTTGAAAAAGGGGAAAAAGGTAATATAAATGAGACACAAGAAATAATCTGCTGGGCCCTGGGTTCGATCCTTAGCACCACACAAAAATAAATAAACTAAAGGTATTGTGTCCATCTACAACTAAAAAAAAAAAAAAAAAAAAAAAAAAAAACATTAAAAAAAAAAGAAGTAATCTGCTGTCCAGGAATTAGATAACCTCAGTCCTATTATTCTTCATCTTTTCTCTCTCCCCTTTTGTCTCAGGCTCAGATTCTTCAAAGATGTTCCTGACAGCCGTATTTTGGTGTGTGGTGGAGATGGCACAGTAGGCTGGATTCTAGAGGCCATTGGTCAGTGCAAGGAGAAGCTCTAGGTGGAATATGGGGGCATTGGTCTTCCAGAACCAACTCTCCCCATATATCTCTTCACCTGTCTCCCCAGACAAAATCAACTTGCCTGTTGTACCTCCTGTTGCTGTGTTGCCCCTGGGCACTGGAAATGATCTGGCTCGTTGCCTAAGATGGGGAGGAGGTAAGTGGTTGGAAATTGCTAGGGGTTGGAGGGAGTTGGTTAAGAAGGGAAAGTCATTGGGAGTAATGTAGGTGTCTGGTATAGAAAGAGCATTGGGGAAAAAGAGGCACAGATGAGTGAGTACCAAAGTGGCAGAACTAAAAGAAGAGAGTTTTGGAAGAAATAGGGAACATATTCTGAGCCTAGAAAGGCCAAGGGTGACTGTCTTCTTTCCTATAAACCTAAAAATAAATGTGTGTCTCTCCTAAACAACTCTTAGGGCTCAGAGGACCAAGGAACATAGCGGGGGTAGATGGAATCATGTGGGAATGAGGAAGGTTATATAAGAGCTAAGCCAGATGAAGAGTAATGAAGCTAGAAGGGAGCTTGTCGGTGATTCATTCATTCATTCAAATGATGAAAAGRTGGTCATTCATTCATTCATTCAGTTACTATCATTTCTTTCTGAGTCTATTTCAGTACTCTACTAACTGTACTCCCATTTCTAATCTTATTCCTTTCAAAGAAAAGAGTTTTAGATCAGCATAGGGCAGATTGTGTTTGAAGTGTCTTGGTATTGAAGCTGTTATGTTCAGAGTTCAGCTTCAAAATCTCACTGGAGATTAGGTAATAAAGGTCTGCTAAGGAGAGTGAAAGAATTCTAGGTGGGGAAAGTGGTAAAGGCCAGAGGAGACAACAAACAACATGGTGGTGTCTGTGATTGGAACCTAGGCTGCAAGGTGGGAGATGGACAAAGGGAGGACCCAGTTGAGCAGGTACAGATTATGGAAGCTATTGGAAGCTATTAATGCTGTGCTGAAGAGTTTTTATCCACACTCTGCCAAAGTTGGCAAGCTGAAAGCCTACAGAAATGATTTTGTATTATTTTGTAGTTTGCTTTGCATGTTTTCAATTTCTTTGAACTTGATTATTTCTTCTTTCTTTCTTTCTTTTTTTTTTTTTTTTTGTTTGTGGTATGGGAATTGAACCAGGGGCACTTTACCACTGAGGTACATCCCCAGTTCATTTTATTTTTTATTTTGAGACAGAGTCTGGCTAAATTGCTGAGAGTCTTGCTAAGTAGATGAAGTTGACCTTGAACTTTATGATCCTCCTGCCTCAGCCTTCAGCCTCTTTTTTTTTTTAATATCTATTTTTTAGTTGTAGGTGGACACAATATCTTTATTTCATTTTTATATGGTGCTAAGGATTGAACCCAGGGCCTCACATGTGATAGGCAAGCACTCTACCATTGAGCCACAACCCCAGCCCACCCTTAGCCTTTTGAATTTCTGGAATTAATCTTTTTTTTTTTTTAATTTTTATTTTTGGTGGTACTGGAGGTTGAACCCAGTGACATTCTACCACTGAGCTCCATACTCCCAACTTTTTATTTTTTATTTTGAGACAGGGTTTCACAAAATTGCTGAGGTTGGACTCAAACTTACCATTTTCCTGCCTCAGCCTTTTCAGTCAATGGGATTACAGGAGTATGCCACAGTGGGCAGTTGAACTTGATTATTTCTGAACTGGGGCATATATTCTTCAATTCTCCACAATCCTCTTGTTCTCTGCTAGTCACTCATTTGTTTTATCTTTCAAGCCACTGAGCCACATTGAGGTATGTAGATATACAACATTTGTGTGTGTGTGTGTGTGTGTGTGTGTGTGTGTGTGTGTTACTAGGAATTGAGCCCAGGGCTTCTTGTATGCTAAGCAAGTACACTGCTACTGAGCTACATTCCCAACCCTTTTCTTATTTTATGTTGAGACAGGATCTTCCTGAGGCTGACCTCAAACTTGCAATCCTCCTGCCTCAGCCTCCTGAGTAGGTGCAATTACAGGCATGCCCCACTGTGCCTAGCCATTTGACCATTTTTTTTTTAAACCAGTTTTTGAGTCCACAACAATTAAATTTTTCATTTGGTACGAGTCACTTTGATATTAGATATGTTGAGTCTTCACTGTGTGTTCTCTGAATGAGACTCTGAAAGCAGTTTTCTGCTGACTTGACCTGAATAATGACTATAAGAATATAAATGAAAATTATATGTCAGCATTTAAAAAAAAACCCATAAGGTTTGAACAGAAGGAAGTGAAAGGAGTGTCACTGTGGGAGCTCTGGGGAGCATGGATAAGAGGTGAAGAAAGAGATAGGATAGGAAATTACCTTTATTGCAATGGTTCAGATAAGAGATGATAAACATAAAGGCCAAGAACAGCAGTGGAGTTAATGAGATAGAAGCAACAGCATTTGATATCTGCTGGATTACTGGGGAGGAGGTAGAGATAAGCATAGAACACTTTCTAGGTTTAGAGACTGAGCTGAGCAGATGGGGGTGCCATTTGTTATGATGGGGACTATGTAAGCAAGACCATTTTAAGAAAGATACATTTACTTTTGGACATGTTGAGCTGAGGTGTCATTGGAGCAACCAGATGGAGATGATGTGGTAGGAAGATAGAAATCGATGTCTATTTCTAATAGGAATTTAGAAGAAAAGTCAGGGATAGAGATATACCTTGGAAAGTCATCTATTCCCAGTGGTGGTAGTTGATAGCCTAACAGGAGATGAGATTACCCAAGGAGATAAGGACAGCAAGATCCTAGTAAACACCATATTTAAAGGCTGAGCAGAAAAAGAGGAATTATTAAATAGTCTTTATTAGTTTCCCATTTCTCACTGTTACAAATTACCATAAATGCTGGCCTAAAGCAACACATATTTATTGTCTTACAGTTCTGGAAAGTCATATGTCCACAATGCGACTCATTGGGCTAAAATCAAGGAAGTGGCAGAACTGTTTTTCTCTTGAGAGCCTAGGGAAGAATCATTTACCTTTCCTTTTCCAGTTTCTAATGTCTGCCTACATCCCTTKGCTGTGGTCCCACTTCCAACCAGCAATGTTATCATTCTGATCTCTGCTTCTGTTGTCACCTCTTCTATGATTCTTCTCTCCTGCCTTCCCCTTTCACTTTTAAGGACCCCTGTGATTACACTGGGACCATCCAGATAATCCAGGATATTCTCTTATTCAAGATCCTTAATTTAATCACATCTGCAGTCTCTTTGCCATGTAAGGTTCTTTTATTTTTAAATTTTATTTATTTGAGATGGGTCTCCCTAAATTACCTAGGCTGTCCTAAAACTCCTGGGTCCAAGTGATCCTCCTGCCTCAGCCTTCATGTAGCTGGGATTACACAGGAGTGTGCCACCATGTCCAACATAATTTTTGTGTTTTTATATGTCCACACGTATGTGTACCCACACATATGATGTTTTAACAAATAAATGGAATCACACTAGACAGATTGTTCTAGTACTTCCTTTTCATCGAATATATCTTGGAAATCTTTCCATGCTAGTAATTATAGATAGATTTCACTCTATATCCAATATCTGCACAGTATTTCATGAATTTGCCATAATTTATATGGCCTTCCCTTACTGGTGGACATTTAGATTGTTTCCAGTATTTCAGAGAGCACATCAACAAAGATCCATCTCTGTACATGTGTATTAATTTCTGTAGGAGAAATTCCTAAAAGTAATTGTTTTATCAAAACAATTTATATATATATATATATATATATTTTTTTTTTTTTTTTTTTTTTTTTTTTTTGGTGTGCACATGGTTCTGGGATTGAATCCCATACTGAGCTATACCTACAGCCCTGTTTATTTTTGGTTTTGAGACTGGATCTCGCTAAGTAGTCCAGGCTGGTCAAGCTTAAGATCTTCCTGCCTCAGCCTCCTGAGTAGCTGGAATTATAAAGTGCTACCATGCCTAGCTGTTTTGATCAAATTTGAAATGGCTTTGATTAAAAATTGCCAAATTGCCTTCCAAAGATGAGGTGTTTTTGTTTTTTATTTTCCTATACTTCTGGGGATTGAACCCAAGGATACTCCACCACTGAGCTATATTATTTTATTTATTGGTTACTGAAGATTGAACTCAGGGATGCTTTACCACTGACTACAGCCCCAATCTTTTTTATTTTTTATTTTGAGACAGGGTTTCACTAAGTTGCTGAGGCTAGACAAGGCTGGCCTCAAACTTGTGATCATCCTGCCTTAGCCTCCCAAGTAGCTGTGCCACTGTGCCTGGCTATGAGTTATTATTTCATGCTCCAACTAACAACAAATGAGAATGACAGTTTACTCATAAACTCATAAACAGTTTTCTTAATTTCTTATAAATTGTTAATTTGATTAACAAAAAGTTAACTAATCATTTTATATTTCTTTGAATTATTTGTAATATTGATTATCTTTCTTGTGCATATTGGTCATTTGTATTTCTTCTGTGATAGGCTTATTTGCATTACTTCCCATTTTTCTATTGACTTTAATATAATGATTTGTAATTTTTTTTTTTTTTTTTTTTTTGGTGTGGGTGGTTCTGGGAAACAAATCCAGGGCCTCAGGCATGCTAGGCAAGTGCTCTACCACTGAGCTACACTCCTAGTTCTATAAGCATTTTTTTGAATGTTGGGAAAGTTAATCCTATTATGTATGTGCCTTTTAGCTTTGTTTTTATATTTTTTTAGGTGTGTGTTTATTTAACCATACAAAAGTTTAATTTTTTTTAATACCAGGAATTAAATCCAGGAATACTTAACCACTGAGCCACATCCCTAGCCCTTTATAATTTTTTTTTTTTAATTTTGAGACAGGGTCTTGCTAAGTTGCTTAGGACTTCTTCATCAAGTTGCTGAGGCTTATCTTGAACTTGTAATCCTCCAGCCTCAGCCTCCTGAGCCGCTGCCAAAAGTTTTAAGTTTTAATATAATTACATTTATCCATCTTCTTTGGCACCTAGGTTTGTATTATGCTTAAAAAAAGATTTATTTTTTAATTGTAGATGGACACAATACCTTTATTTTATTTTTATGTAGTGCTGAGGATCTAACCTAGTGGCTCACTCATGCTAGGTAAGCACTCTACCTCTGAGCCACAACCCCAGCCCTATTATGCTTTATAAAGACCTTTTCATCCAAGGATTATAAAAGAAATTCACTCATTTTTCTTCTAGTACAAATCCTGTTTTTTGTTTGCTTGTTTGTTTTTGCTTATATTGTTTACTGGGGATTGAACCCAGGCATGCTAGACAAGTACTCTACCATGAAGCTGTATCCCCAACCCTACTGCTTTAGTTTTTCATACTTGCTTTTTTTGCTTCAGATGGTTTAAAAAGTGACTTCTATCCAGGCACAGTGGTGCATACCTGTAATCCCAGCAGTTTGGGAGGCTGTAGCAGGAGGATGACAAATTCAAAACCAGCTTCAGCAATTTAGTGAGGCTCTAAACAACTCAGTGAGATCCTGTCTCTAAATAAAATACACACACACAAAAAAAGGCGAGGAGCTGGGAATGTTACTCAGTGGTTAAGTGCCCCTGGGTTCAATCCCTGGTGCCAAAAAAAAAAAAAAAAAAAAAAGACTTCTTCATCTCTTCATCTAGTACCATGTACTGAATAATTTATTTTTCTCCATTTATTTGAAATGTTATAGTATGCTAAATTCCCAAATATGTTGAAATCTATTTTGAAAACTGTTTTTTTTTAAGTTCTAAGAATAGGGCCTCTTACATGCTAGGTAACTACTCTTACCAATGGGCTATATCCTCAGCCCTTTTAAAAAAATTTTATTTTATTTTGGGGGAGTTACTGAGGATTGAATACCTGGGCACTGAGCTAAATCCTCCTCAGTTATTTTTTATTTTATCTTTATTATTTAATTTAATTTTTATTTATTTATTTGTTTATTTATTTTTGTGATGCTAGGGATGGAATCCAGGGCCCTGCACATGCTGGGCAAGCTACATTCCCAGCTTATTTTTTATTTTGAGACAGGGTCTCAATAAGTTGCTGAGGCTGGGCTCCAACTTGCAATCTTCCTGCCTTGACCTCCTGCATGGGATTACAGTTGTGCATCACCATTCCCAGCTCTATTCTTTACCATTAAATTGCTTATTCTAGTCACTGTGCCAGTATCATACTGTTTAGATACTTCCTTTATTCTGTGTTCTTCCTGCTGGAATGAAGCAAGAAAGCATGAGGGAGTGAGGGAGACTGTCCCCATTTTTTGCTCATCTTTTTCAGCATTTTCCTAGCTGTTCTCTCCAATTCTCCAGATGAATTTTGTAGCTGTTTTTGTTTGTTTTATACCGGAGATTGAACCCAGGGGTGCTTAAACACTGAGCCACATCCCTAGCCCTTTTAATTTTAAAGTTTTAGGGTCTCACTAAGTTGCTTAGGGCATCACCATATTGCTGAGGCTGGCTTTGAACTTGAGATTCTCCTGCCTCAGCCTTCCAAGCCACTGTGATTACAGGTGAGGTGTGCCCCACCATTCCCAGCAAAGCTGACCCCTCTTAATCTTGGTCCACAGAGGCTGCACATCCTACCCTTTCACTGTTTTTTTTTTTTTTTTAAGAGAGAGAGAGAGAGATTAATATTTATTTTTTAGTTCTCCGCGGACACAACATCTTTGTTGGTATGTGGTGCTGAGGATCGAACCCGGGCCACACGCATGCCAGGCGAGCGCGCTACCGCTTGAGCCACATCCTCAGCCTCCTACCCTTTCACTGTTGATGGCTAGGAGATTCTGCAGAACCAGAGCAGAGGGTTCTTGGAGATTTGCAGATCTGGGGATAAGAGGAGGGCTCTGGAAGACTCAGGGCTCAGTGCTAATCTGTCTTCTCTTCCACCTTTAGGGTATGAAGGAGAGAATTTGGCAAAGATTCTCAGGGAATTAGAGATGAGTACGGTGGTATATATAGATCGATGGTCCCTGGAAGTGATACCCCAACAAACTGAAGAAAAGACTGATCCAGTCCCCTTTCAAATCATCAATAACTACTTCTCCATTGGTGTGGTCAGTAGACTGGGGCACAGGGGGAAGGATGGAAGTGGGGGTTAAGCAGGCAGAGGCTGGAGGAGGACAGAAAGGGAAGGGAGAGGTTAAAGAAGCAGTGATGTGGGGAAATTAGAAATGGGGTATAGTGGTGTGAGTTGCAAATAAAGATTGTGGAACATGTGGAACATGCTGCACCTAGACTGGAGAGGCAGGAGAGGGGGAGGGAGGGAGGGAGGGAGAGAGAGAGAGAACACAAACATGAATATGCTCTGAGATTAGGCCAGTTTCTGATATCATATGCCCTTAACTCTCCAGGATGCTTCTATTGCTCACCGATTTCACATCATGCGAGAGAAATATCCTGAGAAGTTCAATAGCAGGTGAAGGAAAAAGGGGAGGAGCATGGGCATACATGGTGTCAGGGACTGGCTTTGTGACCAAGTTTGACTCAGAATGTTTAGATGGGCAGTGATACCTCTAGGAAACCCCGCACCTCCGCAAAATAAAGCTACCCTTGTTCCCCTTGGAGTTGGGAGATTGATGCTCTTCCCTGTTATTTACCACCTCTACCACCACTGTATAACCTGTTCCTTCCCTACTGGGCCTTGTGCTGGGGCTGTTACAGAATGAAGAACAAGCTATGGTACTTCGAATTTGCCACATCTGAATCCATCTTCTCAACATGCAAAAAGTTGGAGGAGTCTTTGACAGTTGAGGTATGTATCATGAGACCCTACTCTACGTCCTTTCTGCTTCTTATAGCCAAGCGTTTCCCTGCACAGGTACCCCAAGGAACTTCCCATATTCTTCTTCTTCTTTTTTAAAATGCCTTTATTTTATTTTTTAAATTTTTTATGTGATGCTAAGGATCAAACCCAGTGCCTCACATGTGCTAGGCAAGTCCTCTGCCACTGACCTACAACCCTAGCCCCTAYTTCCCATATTCTTGAACTTATACTTCTTTGACCTCCCAGCTCTCCAACCTTGACTTCCTAAGTCCTCAAGATGCACTAGTTCCTTTTTTTCCTTTTATCTCTTGCAAACCTCCAAATCCTGGCCTTCCTAGTTTGTTACATAGTCAAGGGAACAGTTACATCCATGATTATACCATGAGGTGAGGATCTGTGCTCTTCCCAACTGGGGTTGTGCCCCACTCCCCTCAGATCTGTGGGAAACCGCTGGATCTGAGTAACATGTCCCTAGAAGGCATCGCAGTGCTGAACATACCTAGCATGCACGGTGGCTCCAACCTCTGGGGTGATATCAAGAGACCCCATGGGGATAGCTGTGAGATCAACCAGGCCTTGGGCACATCAGCTAAAGTCATCACTGACCCTGATATCTTGAAAACTTGTGTACAAGGTGAGAGGAGTACCCTTGGGAGTTGAGTGGGCAGGACTAAGGAGAAAGTGTGACTCCCTTTGGGAAAACACTGCCTCTATAAAACTTATCTCCCTATTTCTCACTGCAGACCCAAGTGACAAACGACTGGAAGTAGTGGGGCTGGAGGGTGCAATTGAAATGGGCCAGATCTATACCAAGCTCAAGAGTGCTGGACGTCGGCTGGCCAAGTGCTCTGAGATCACCATCCAGTAAGGAAGATTCCAGCCAGTAGTCTGAGGGAAGAAGGGAAGAGGGCATGGGAATAGTGGGAAGGGCTAGAGATCATCCTCAGTGACAAAGGGTCTCAGGGTCAAGGGGAACCAGACTCTTGATATTTGGTCAGTAAAGAAATCTATACCAATCTTCCTTGATCTCCCACAGCACCATAAAAACCCTCCCCATGCAAATTGACGGGGAACCCTGGATACAAACACCCTGTACAGTAAGTATTGCCTATGCCTGCCAAAAACAGAATCCTCAGGCTCCATGGATCCTCAATTTCCATCCCACAACCTTCTTGACTTCCTCCCAATACCCAAAGTTCCCCTTGATACCCTTCCCTAAAACTCTGATTTCTCAGACTGGCTCCCTACCATGATCTCCCCAGAACCCCAGAAACCCACCAACAGTGCCACATCTTTCCCCCAATCCTTTTGCTCCATCTCCAAGGTATCAGATTCAGCCTCTGAACATGCTCCCTTCCCTTCCCTTCTAGATCAAGATCACGCACAAGAACCAGATGCCCATGCTCATGGGCCCACCACCCCGCTCCTCCAATTTCTTTGGCTTCTTTTCTTGTCCCACTTAACCTCCAACCCAGCCTTGAATCTACCTCCCTGTCCCTGAATTCCACCCCCTAGGCTCTGTACATTGCTGCCACATCCTCCTGCTAGTTCAGGGGAGTATTCCTTTGCCCCCACAGTATTTATTATCCTGATTCACCTGTCCCCCACCCACATACATATATGCACATACACCACACATATGTTAAAAGTGCCTCTTCTAAATAAAGTGACTTTTATTTTACTGGGTTATCTGTTAAGTGATACACCTCCTTCTTTTCCACCTTCATGCCTTAAAAGACTGATCTCAAGAAAGCAAGAAAAACAGCACCAAGTTCCAAGTATTTATTTCAGGTAATGGTGGTCTCCAAGGAAAGACTGCAGAAAAGATAGGCATTCCTGTCAACTCCAGGAGAATCATTATCATCATATGAGAGTACTCAGACCTGCTGCCCACTGAGAAGTGGACTGTTCTCACCAGTGGGGCAAGCACGGAGGACCCTGGGCAGACGTAGCCAGTGAGTGCTACTATGTGGCAGCTGGGAAATGGAGAGAGCTGAGCCCTGCTTCATAAATCTGCGCCTGATATTGAGAGAAGAGGGGGAAATGGTTAGCAATGGACAAGGGCCAATTATCTGTGCTTCTCCAAAGAAGGGACACACCCATATCCCATGCTTGGCCTTAATTCTAGCTCCTTTCCCTTCTCCCCAACTCCAGGATTCATTGTCTCTTATTTCTATGGTAACCTCTCTCCTTTACCTATAAACTTCCCTGCTTTGAAGACCTTGGCCTGGGGATCTGCCCCTCTCAGAAGTGCTACACATAGAATATTAACAACAGTTATCAATGTCCTCAATTGGTGCACTCTTGCCAGGTGGTTTACTCACATTGTTTCTAATCCTGACAACAGTCCCACAGGGAAGGTATTGTTTTTCTTACATCTCAGAGGTTCAGAAATTTTAAGCTATTTCCCCAGTATCCCACAAGAAAGACTGCAGCCTAGGTCTTTCTAACTTATATGCCTGGACTCTTTCCTAGACACCATGCTTCCTCAAAGGGAATGGTAGTTCATTTTCCCCTTAAGGAAGAGGAAGAGGTAGTAATAAAGGATTGCGGGTCTGGGCTAGATGGTGGGGTTCTCACCTATATATCAGAGATGCAAGGACCACAGCCATCAACACAAGCAAGATACCCACAAGCAGGGGAACCTGCCCAAGGCCTGCTTCTTGACCTGTGAACAGAATCCCAGGCACTGCTTCATACAGTGTCTTCTCCCTCCCTTCTGGCCTCTGCCCATTCCCCTATTCCCCTTCATCCTATCTTATATCTAAATACGTACCAGGCATGATAAGCTGGGTGCTGGCCACTGCCAGGCTGTTGGCATCAGCCAAGGACACATTGAGGCAGTAGGTCCCTGAGCCGCCCTTTAGTACCTGGTGCAGAACCACCTGGCAGGCTGGACTTGGTGGCACAGGCTGGCACAGACGTTGGGCTGGAGGCTGGCACCCTGGTGATGAAATATCCAAACAGGCTTCCTTGGGCAGCCTAGAATAAGGATCATCTTGCATCAGGGGATCTTGGAAGGGACATGACTCCAGAGATCAATGGTCAACTCAAGAATCATCAGAGCAATCAGCAGGATACTCACCCGCCTTGACAGGACACAGTCAACTCAAATGCATCCCCTTCACTGGATGGCACGGCCTGCAGGATCTCAGCATTCTCAATGCCCTCTGTAGAATTGCAAGGTTATAAGTTGGGATTCCGTAGGGCTACTCTCCCAATCCCATCCCTTTGTCTTCAAAGGAGGACCCTGTCTTTGGGGCATTCTTTCTGTCTGGGTAAATAATTCCTCTCAAGGTATGCTCCCACTTGATGGTCCTGGGCAGCATATACCTTTCTTCATCAACCCCCAGGGTAGGCAAGACTTACGGACAATATCCAGGGTGAGAGAATAGGAACCATATCGATATAGAACACAATCCAAGGGGACTTGTCTCTTCACCAGCATTAAGGTATCTGTGCCATCCAGCGGAGGGCTCAGGGACCCTGGCAGGAGAGGATTTAGGAGGCAAGGTTAAGAGACAGATAAGAAGATTCACTTGGAGGAAGAGGCCAAGCAGACATTTTCCCAAGTAGAGCTACTGGATCCCGAAATTACTGGCTTTAAGTCAGACAAGATCTTGGAAATATCTTTTTTGGGGGGTACTTGGGATTGAATTTAGGGGCACTCAAACACTGAGTTACATCCCCAGCCCTATATTGTATTTTATTTAGAATCAGGGTCTCACTGAGTTGCTTAGCATCTCGCTGTTGCTGAGGCTGGCTTTGAACTTGCAATCCTCCTGCCTCAGCCTCCTGAGCCGCTGGGATTATAGGCTTGCACCACTGCACCCAGAAGAAATATCATTTTATAGATAAATAAACTGAAGCCCAGAAGAAGAAAATTACTGCTTTAGAGTCACAAGGTTAGAGGCAAGAGTTGGAATTTTCAAAAAGTCTCCCAAATATTTATCATACCCCACATTATGCTAGGTCCTAGGCTAGATACTTGATGTAGCTCATTTAAACATCACTAACTCATCCCTTCTGTTTTCACTTTGGGACAAGAATCTAGGAGTGGAAAATGGTAGAATCAGAGTCTTAGAATCTGAGAAAGATTTCTGTGCATTTATGCTTGAACAGAAAATGTGATATAAATATGTAAATAATCACAGTCTGTTCCCTGGCCTTCCCAGATGTTCTCAGGGGTAGAAAAGCAACAAGCTCTCTCCTCATATACTGGGGAAGACCCCAAATAACTGAACTCCAAATCTCTTGCATGTCAAGAGACACTTGAGGGCTTTAGAGCTAGTAAGAACTCTGAGGAGATCACAGTGTTAAACAGGATTAGATAACATCTGGGTAAGACTTTCAGAGTAGAGAAGTAACAAATATCCCTTCTCAATGAACCTCATGCACACTGGGGTGTGTGTGTGTGTGTGTGTGTGTCTCCTCTCTCTCTCTCCCTCCCCCCTTCTATCTATCTATCTATCTAGATATCTATCTATCTATCTGGTTGTAGATGGACACAATACCCTTTTTTTAAAAAATTTTTTAATATTTATTTTTTAGTTCTCGGYGGACACAACATCTTTGTTGGTATGTGGTGCTGAGGATCGAACCCGGGCCGTACGCATGCCAGGCGAGCGCGCTACCGCTTGAGCCATATCCCCAGCCCAATACCCTTTTTTTTTAAAAAAAAAGAATTTTTTGTTGTTGTTGTAGATGGACACATACTTTTATTTTATTTATTTATTTTTTATGTGGTGCTGAGGATCGAACTCAGTGTATCACACATGCTAGGCAAGCGCTCTACCACCCCAGCACCACCACCCCCTTTTTTTTTTTTTTTTTGGTACTGAGGATTGAACTCAGGGGCACTTGACCACTGAGGCACATTTCCAGCCCCATTTTGAATTTTATTTAGAGATAGGATCTCACTGAGTTGCTTAGTGCTCTTGCTGAGTCTGGCTTTGAACTTGAGATCCTCCTGCCTCAGCCTCCTGAGCCACTGGGATTACAGGTGTGCACCACTATGCCCGGCCCCAGCCTCCTTTTATTTTTATTTATTTATCTTTTTATGTGGTGCTGAGGATTGAACCCAGGGCCTCACATGTGCTAAGCACGTACTCTACCACTGGGTCACAACCCCAACCCTACACTGGTCCTCTTACCTGTAATATCTTCTGTAGACATGAATGGGCTAGCATCTGGACCCTCAGGCTCAGGGGTCGGTATCTTTTCAGCTGTGGTCTCCACCAACTCTATAGTTGTCACCTCTGTAGAGGGCTCTGCAGTTGGCATCTTTACAGGTGTAGTATCTATAATCTCTGTAGTTGACACCTCTGCAAATGTGGTATCTATGACCTCTGAGGTTGGTAGCTGCTGCAGTGTAGTACTTGTTCCCTCTGCAGTTGGCATTTGTACAGATGTGATATTTATGACTTCTGTGGTTTGCACATGCACAGCTGTGGTTCCAGACGGCTCTGTAGTTGGTACCTGATTGGGTGTAGTACCTATAACTTCTGCAGTAGGCACTTGCCCAACTGTGGTGCTAGGAACCTCTGCAGTTGACATATTCCCATCTGTTGTGGCTGGAAGTGGGGAAGAGCCACAGGAGGTAAGAGGAATGGCAGCCTGCAGCACCACCTGAGCAGTGACGGGGCCAGACTCCAGGTAAGTATGAGTGACCACAAGTGCCCGAGAGATCAGAGTCCCAGTACTATCTCCAAAGTTCCATGTATAAGAGAGGTCAGCCCCCTTCAAATAGCCACTGGGGTCATGGAGCTGAAGAGAAAAGGTCAGAGGTTGCTTCCTCAGGAAGTGTTTGTTCCCTCCATCCAAGGCTTGTAGTTGGGACACRCTCACAGAGAAAGGTACCTGGTCTGGGATTGGAGCCAGAAAAGGTGAGAACCAAACCTGGGCCAGAGCTTCTCCTTTCACAGCCATACCCTCTAACCCAGAAGCTGGTAGTCACCTGGCAATTCACTGGTTCTAAACCCCACATTCCTCTGCTAAGGTCTTCCTGGCCCTGCCCCTTGAAGGTAGCACACCATTTCCTCTCTCCCCTCCAGTCCACCCAAGCCTCTCCATATTCTTCTGCTCTATTGCTGGCTTTGCCAGTTCCTAGACCCTTACCAGTAATGGTGAAGGCTGAGCTGGAGCGAGCAAGGGGCACGTAGCTCTGGGATCCACGGTGATGGTAGACAGTCACTTCCATGGTGTGTGTGCCCAGCATTGCCTGTTCTGTCCCAATACTCAGCCTGGACACTGGACCCCCCAAGACTTGCCAGTATTGGCCTGAGGTTTTTGAAAAGAAAATCAGAAAGGGAGATGCTACTGGTCAGAGGGAACTGGAGCAGGATATGAAAAAAGAACACCAGAGAAAGAACATCAGGAGATATATTAAGGATGATTACTTCAAAGGGTGTTGGGAAGGCTGTGACATAATGGGGCAGAGAAAGGGTTCTATTGTGTGTGAGAGGGCATTTCATAGAGTGGGACTGTAATTGAGAAAGGGTTGCCTGCGTTGGCTGGGGCTATAGATCAATAGTGCATGGTGTATACAAGGCCCTGGGTTTGATCCCCAGCACCCCCCAACTCCAAGAAAAAGAATTGAAAGGGAGTTAGGTGCTATGAATGAAGAAATAGCCATGGGGGGAAATGAGGATTAGGGGAAATCACAAAAGTTAAGGGCTGAGGCCAAAAAGAAAGGTGAACATGTAAGAAGAAGAAAATATAAGTATGTAGAGACAGGTCAGAGAAGGGAAACTCTCACCCCAGGTCTTCCAGACATAAACAAATCTTCTTCTTTGAGACCAAGGGCCAGATGGGCAGGGTCCACCATCAGGGAAGATGCAGGCATCGTCAGGTTCCTGGGGATACACTGGTTCTCCTCCCCACACCTGACTCCCTGAAATATAAATATAGTCACCCTCAACCCTAGCATTCTTTTTTTTTTCCCCCAGTACTGGGGATTGGACCCAGGGGCACTTACTTTACCACTGAGTTACATCCACAGCCCTTTTTAGTTTTAATTTTAAGGTTGGCCTTGAACTTGCAAGCCTCCTACCTTGGCTTCTGGAGTCCCCAGGATTTCAGGCATGCGCCACTGGCCCTAGCATTCTGCTGTATACATCAAAACCCCTATAATAGCTCCTAGGGCATCAGAGAGGGGCTCTAGTAATAATAGCTAGAAAGTACAATCTCTATGGTATAACCCATTTGGGCTTGTAGTTGGGGCTGGGGGTATGTGGACACTACAATTTAAAATTCACTTATATACACACATTCACACACATACATAAGAAAGAGACTGGGATGGGCATGGTGGCACATGTCTATAATCCCAGCAGCTCAGGAGACTGAGACAGGAGGATCACAAGTTCAAAGCCAGTCTCAACAATTTATCGAGGCCCTAAGAACTCAGTGAGACCTTGTCTCTAAATAAAATACAAAATAGGGCTAGGGATATAGCTCAGTGGTTAAGTACCCCTAGGTTCAATCCCTGGTATGGAAAAAAAAAAAAAAGACTGGAAAGCCATACATCAAAATGTTTATGGTGATTTTCTCTAATCAGTGAAATAAAAAAAAAAAACAGTATCAGCTAACATTTTTTGAGTCTTTCCTGTAGGCTAGAGAAACCTAATACTGAGTTCTTTATATAATATCACATTTTTATTCTTACAACACCTTTCAGGAAAGGTACCACCCCCATTATATGGATAAGGATATGGACGCACAAAACAGTTAAGTTACTAGTCTAGAACACAAACTAGTGACAAATTGAAAACTAGGTCTGCCCAACTTCTGGATTCTGCTATCCCTCAGTTTGGGAATTATAATTTTCTTTACTTTTTGCTTTATCCATGTTTTCTAATACTACTACAATGAATTTGTATCACATATGTAATTTGTTTAAAAAATAAAAGGAGGCTGAGTTCAGTATTACAAATCTATAATTTCAGAGACTTGGGAGAAGCAAGAGGATCACAAGTTCAAGGCCAGGCTGGGCTATTTAGCAAGACTTTGTCATAAAATAAAATGGCTGAGGATATAGCTCAGAGGTGCTCCTGGCTCAATTCCCAGAACCACTCTGAATAAGCAAACAAATAAATATTAGAGCAGGAATGGGACATTCTTGAGGCTCACTGGAGACACCAGGGAATTTGAGCCCTAGGAATAAGGGTCTGAAGTAGGGTTGTACTTACCATTGATGATGGTGTTGTTGGCCCAGATAACCTGCCCATCTGGCAGTACCTTTTGGCTTTCAGGGAAGTGCAGGGCAATAGAGAAGGAGGTATTTGCACCAATCAGTGTAGGCCCATCATTACTGAGCTCCAGGGACACCTGGCCACCTGGGAAGCGAAGTTGCATTAGTGAGGACTCTGTGGCTTCCTTTCCCCATTTATCTTTCCCCTTCCTGTCTTCCCAAGGTGCATTCACCCAAGTTCTTCCATTCCTCCCCATCCTATTCTCACCATATTCTCCCCAGAACTTTCAATTTCCCACCTTTCCAGCAGTCAGGCCTCTGAMCTTCTGTCCACTCTGGATACAGCTGTCTGTTCCAGGCTTTTGTTCTGAGCTGCCTCAAGACTCCAAGCCAGTCCTGGTTTCTGGGTCCTAAAAGGAATGTGCCATGAGGGCTCTAGGATCCTCAATCAGTTCCGTTTCAAGGCTAACACTCCATTCATGTCACTCCACTCATTCTCACATTCAAAGGCATTTTAATTTACTGAATACCCATGACGTATTAGGCACTATTTGAGGCACAAAAGACTTAAGAATAATAAGATAAGGCTCTGAAAGGGATTCAAAGTTGAGTATAAGAAATGAGCATATACACACATTATTATAATTCAAGGCACTGTTTAATGCGTACCATAACAGACATACCATATAGTGTAACAAAATGAGAAACTAAACAGGCTAATTCCACAAGAGTACATTGGGGAAGTACTCTTGTGGAATTAAATGAGTACATTAAATGAGGAGCTGCCCCAGGACTAGCACATGGAGGCATGGAAGCACTTGACATGCTAGGGGACTACTAGAGTTGTGTTGTTGCACACTATGGCTGAGAAGATGGGGTGGGGACTTTGAGTGTCACACTAGGGGGTTTGGCCTTTATCCTGTAGGCAAGCCACCTTTGAAGCTATTTTTTTAAAATTGACATTTAATCATGTACCATAAAATTTACCCTTCAAAAGCTTTTACTTTTTATTATTTTTTAGTTTTATTTTGAGACATGCTGTCTCTAAGTTGCTTAGGGCCTCAATAAATTACTGAAGCTGGCCATGAACTTGTGATCCTCCTTCCTTAGCCTCCTGAATTGCTTGGATTATAGGCATGTGCTGCTGTGCCCAACAACCCTTTGAAAGCTTTTTTTTTTTTTAAATAACAAAGAAGTTCTTACAGTTATTTAAAATATTGTACTACATGATAAATCTGGTTTTAAATATATTCAATTTTTTAATACAAAAATGCAGTTGTGGTTCAACTTTTGGGTTATACACTAAAAAGCAAACCAAGTTTTGAATCATCAGTTAACTCAAGAAAGGAAGTAACTCTTCCAAGTCAACTTCATTGGAGACAGAGTATCAGAACTGGAACTGGGATCCAAATTGAAAAACTATAATTTTCATATGAGGCTTTGAAACCTTTTAAAACCCAATTGTATTAGTATTTTAGAAAGATCACTATAGCAAGCAGGGGATGGTTAAGAAGTAGGGTAGGGACAGAGCAGCAAAATTATTGTAACTGACCAAGAGAGAGGTCTGAGAGGAAAAAAAAATATGTTGGGCCTTCATATACCCTCACCTAGATCCAACAGCTATCAACATTTTGCTGTATTTGCTTTATCCTTATTGATTTTTTTTTTTTTTTTTTTAGATATTGGGGGATTGAACTCAGAGGCACTTAACCACTGAGCCACACCTCCAGCCCTTTTTAATATTTTATTTAGAGAAAAGTTCTCGCTGAGTTGCTTATGACCTTGCTAGGTTTCTGAGGCTGGCTTTGAACTTTCAAGCCTCCTGCCTCAGCCTCCAGAGATGCTAGGATTACATGTATGGGCCACTGCGCTCAGCTTGTTATTTTTGTTTTTGGCTAAAATATTTAAAAGTGACTTTGAGGGTTATGTTAACCCTATGGATTTTTTTTAATATTTATTTTTTAGTTGTAGTTGGTTGGACACAATACCTTTATTTTAGTTATTTTTATGTGGTGCTGAGGATTAAACCCAGAGACTCGCACATGCTAGGTCAGCACTCTATTGCTGAACCCCAACCCCAGCCCCAACCCTATGGACTTAAAAAAAAAAAATTTTCCTGCATAAGCACAATGTCTTTTCACACTAGGAAAAATCTATAAGATAAATAGCAGTCCATATAAAATTTCATGAATATCTAGAAAAATGTTTGTTTTTTTTTTTGGTTGTGGTGGGAGACGGGATTGAACCCAGAGCCTCTCACCTGCTAATCACAGTTCTGATGCTGAGCTCCATCCTCAGCCTATTCTTATGACTTAAAAAAAATCAGAATTCAATATGTAAGCATGATCTTTTAAGAGCCTTAGGTGAATGAACGTGAACAGAATGTTTTCAGAAAACATTAAGAAACACAGTGAACGAAAAAGACTTCAAAGTGCAGCATAGGGCTGGGGATGTGGCTCAAGCGGTAGCGCGCTCGCCTGGCATGCATGCAGCCCCGGGGGTTCAATCCTCAGCACCACATACAAACAAAGATGTTGTGTCTGCCGAAAACTGAAAAATAAATATTGAAATTCTCTCTCTCTCTCTCTTTTTAAAAAAAGAAAAAAAAGTGCAGCACAAATGAGGAAAGCCAATCAAGGAAAACTTCCTAGAAATCTGTGAAATTGGGATCTAGACAGAGAAAGAGAGGTTGGGATATGATGTATACATTTCAGCATAGCAGAAACTACCCTCACCTCATTTCTTTTCCTCCGTCTTCTTTTTTTTTTTTTTTCCTCTTTTTCTGAAACCCAGGGCTTTATCATTGATCTATATCTCCCGATCTTTTTATTTCTTTTTTTTCCCAATTAAGAAAATCCATGGGTCTTTATTTATTTATTTTACATTTATTATGCCATGAATTCTTAGGTAATAGGTTCCAACAGCTCAGGATTCTTTCCATTTGTTCTGACAAAATATATTTCTCTGGGTGGAGCAGGCTGGCACTTCAGCTGAACCCAGGTACCTTTCTCTTTGGCTTCCTTCTTTTTCTGATAATTTTCTTTTTTTTTTTTTTTTAAATATTTATTTATTTATTTATTTTAGTTCTCGGCAGACACAACATCTTTGTTGGTATGTGGTGCTGAGGATCGAACCCAGGCCGCACGCATGCCAGGCGAGCGCGCTACCGCTTGAGCCACATCCCCAGCCCTCTGATAATTTTCTTTTACATGTTTCAGGAAGGTGACTCGGCTCTTAGAGTGCTTAATATGCTCAATATGCACATTAATTCTCTAGGCAAGAATCTTGCTCTTAACTTGCTTATTCACAATGTCAACGGCATGCTGGGTAACATTGTAAACTCTCCCAGTTTTGCCATGCTAACATTTGTGGGACATTCCTTTTTGAACAAGTACCCATTCCCTAATGTCTATATTATCATCCTTCTTGTAGATTCGCATATATGTGGCCACAGAAACAATTCCATCTTTTCTAAAAGGTCTAGAGAACAGACATCAGGTTCCTCTCCTCTTTCCCTTTGTGTTCATCAATTTGGCAAATTACTGGAAGATGGCAGTTCAGGCCAAAAGGAAGGGCTTTATTTTATTTTGAAATAGAGTTCCACCAAGTTGTTGAGGCTGGCCTCAAACTTGCTATCCTCTTGCTTCAGCCTCTCAAGTAGCTGGGATTATAGCATGCACCACCACACCTGGTTTATCCTCACTCCATTTCTTTCTTTTTTGGTACGAAGGTTTGAACCACTGAGTCATATCGCTAGTCCTTTTTATTTTTATTTGAAACAGGGATTCCCTAAGTTGCTTAGGGCCTCATTAAATTACTGAGACTGGCTTTGAACTTACAAACTTCTGCCTCAGCCTCCTGAGTTCCTGGAATTATAGGCATGTACCACCATGCCTGGGTCCTCACCCCATTTCTAATGCACACTGGAAACCTTGATGATTCTTCTGGGGGATGATCTGGAATCATTTCACTGAGCTTCCCACCAGTAGAGCAAGAGAAGTCATGAGATGCGCCATTCTTTCTCCAGTTCCAACCCTCCCTCCTCAGAGCAGCACGGGACATTCCAGACCCTCTCACCACCACCACCATCACCACCCCTTGCTCCTGTCACGAGGATCCAATCCCCCAGAGCCTATTCATGTGATGCTCAGCTGAGACCCCCCCCCCCCCCCCCCCCCCCCCCCCCCCCCCCCCCCCCGCCTGTCTCTCCCAGCCCCAGAACAAAAGATCTAGGCTGTGTTCACCCATCCCCATCCCAAGATGGGGATCATTGTACCCCTTTAGCCTTCTTATCCAACACCATATTCTGTCACTCCCCACTTTAAATCCTCTACCCCCAAGTACCTGAGACATTACCTGAAAGAATCTTTTCACACTTGTGGAGTCCCAGCTCCAGCTCACTGCCTGCGGGTCCTCAGTTTTAGCATCACAAAGACCCACTATTCTTTTGCCCCTCCAAGCAGACAGGATTATTTTCATGTTCAATCCCAATTTTCCATGTTGGGAGGGAGCCAGTGCCCATATTCTCACTAAGTCAAACAGGTGGGAGAAGCCTGAAATATTACTGGTATCTCACATTAAGAGCGGGAAAACCAGAACAGGTGTTCAATCCCTAATCAACACCTGCTCCTGTCCATACGCCCACACTCACCTTCTGTGGCCCCCACAGCCAGCAGAGCACTTAGCACACACAAATGGAGAAAGCACCTTCTCAGCACCACATCCATCCTGTTCTTCCCTTCAGCAACCAAAGGCGCTGGGGGACTGGAAAAAAACCCTATATAAGAAAAGAGTGCTCATTTACATAGCCCTTCCTCCTCTCCCTCTAGGAGTGGTGTGGGAGGAGCGAAAAGACTGGAGAGAGGCAGAACTGATGAGGGATCCCGGTCCCTGGACATTCCTTTCCCATCAGGCTACTCAATGACAGTTTCTGGTTTTACTGTGTCACTCTCACCTTGTCAACACTCCATCACCCGAGAAAGAGGGGACCGATAGATAACTATATAACACACACCAGTCACACACAATTCAGAGAGTGAATCAATAAGTTGCGTCAAACCAAGAACTTTCAAAAACACTGAAATAGAACCTTTGCATCCAAAAGCAGAGAGACAGTATCAGGGTAGGCTGAGAGGCGGAGGCAACAACACCTCTGAGGCTCATGAACCCCTTAAGATTCCCGGCTTTCTGCTTTTCAAAGTAGGCTCCCTGGGCCGAGAGAAATTTAATTTCAGTTCGATACTCATTTTCCCAAAGGGCAATGAAAGTACTGATTTAGAGATCAGGGAATTCCTACAGACTAGAGACACAGGACACTCGAGTCCTAAGCAAGAACTTGGGAAAAGACGTTCAGCCGCCTCAAAGAGGAGGAAACTTAGTCTGGCCTCTCAGAATCAAACTTGCAGCGGGCGGTGTCTTTCACCGCGAGGAGAGCTGGGCTCGCCGGGCTCGCCGGGTCCCCTCTGACGTCCACCAATTGGAAGGGCAGGGGGCGGAGCCAGGGAAACGCGGGAAGGAGGGGAGGGGCCTCTGGTGGCGGTCGGGAACTGGTGGGGGAGGCGGCAACATTGTTTCAAGTTGGACAAATTGACAAGAGCCAGACGTAGACTGCGTTCCATCCCGACCTGGGGCTACGGTGCTGAGCTCTGTTTCCCCCTTCTCCGCCTCCGAGAGTCGTGGCCCGCTTTCTGCAGGGTTCCCAGGCCCCCGCTCCAGGGCCGGGCGACCCTACTCGCTAGCGCTTCATGGAGAACTTCCAAAAGGTGGAAAAAATCGGAGAGGGCACGTACGGAGTTGTGTACAAAGCCAAAAACAAGTTAACGGGAGAAGTGGTGGCGCTTAAGAAAATCCGCCTGGACACGTGAGTGGCCTCTGTAACCGGGACTCCTAACTAGGGAGCTCCTTGACTGTCCCCCCCCCCCATCCCCATCCCCACCCCCACCCCCACCCCCACCCCCACCCCCAACAGGCGAGTAGCCGTCCAGGGACCGGAAGGTAGCAGGGAGGGACTTCTTTTGAAGTGAAGGGGTGGGTTGCGGGTAGTAGAGGGTTCCTCTGGGCAGAGTGTAGGGTAGTGTAGAATCCATGGAAAACTTCCTTCCCTTACTGAGCCCGCCGAAGTCTCCAAAAGTGCAGTAAGAGAGACTCGGGAAAAGAAAGGAGGCCTCTGGGATTGAGTCAAGGATTTTCCATGGATTTGGGTTATGTGGAAACCAATAAAGAACACTTTTCTGAATGAGCAGCTGGCCTCACGGCCCCAACCCCACCCTCATCTTAGAATTCTCTCTCTCTTTCAAAAGAATGGCAGTTGAACCTCGCTGGGCCCTCTGGGGAGACTGGGTGTTACTCTTTTTATTTATTTATTTATTTTTAAATTTCCTTTTCTTTGCTTCACCTTCACCAGGAGGCTTTACTTACTTACCCCTGGAAAAAAGGAAATAATGATCCTAATGTGTCTGTCTGAAAACCACACCCTGACTACCCAAGAATTACCTCCTTACAGCACCCTTCCTCTTTGACTTTCCAAGGGGATACTGGGGTGGTGTCTCCTTGGGGGAAAGGAATGACTAGATTGGGAAGAAGGAATATTTGTAACCATATTCCCATCTCTGCTTTTCCAACCTCTCCAAGTGAGACTGAGGGTGTACCTAGTACTGCCATCCGTGAGATCTCTCTGCTCAAGGAACTTAACCACCCTAATATTGTCAAGTAAGTATGTTCTGAGAGGTGATCTAACAAGGAAGGAGAATGAATTCTCTCTGGATAGCCTGGGCATTTCTCTCCTGCACCTCCATTTTCCAGACCTTCTCTTCCACAGGCTGCTTGATGTCATCCACACAGAAAATAAACTCTACCTGGTTTTTGAATTTTTGCACCAAGATCTTAAGAAATTCATGGATGCCTCTGCCCTCACTGGCATTCCTCTTCCCCTCATCAAGGTAATGCTCATCATCTATTGGGCACACGTTTTAGGGGTCTAGAGGTAGGCAATTCAGACTGGATGATAATTTGTTATCTTGGCCTCCTTCTTCCCAGTCTACCCCCAACCCCCTTTCTTTTGTGTCTCTTTCCCTGCTCATTATATTCATTAACCCTAGGGTTGGGCTGAAGAATCAAAGTTGAAACTCTAGTGAGGCAACTCAGAAGCTCAGGTGAGAGGTCAGATGAAACTGAGATAAATGGGAGTTGATAGATTCCTCCAAAAAGCCCTTTCACCTATTAGTGGAAAAAATAGCTAGTGAATCTCTGTTGTCTGTTTAAGCCTGGGTTCTTCACTTCTGGAACTACTTTCTTTCAATCTAACAACAGACATTTATTCAACACACATTTATTAAATACCTTAAATGTGTTAGGGTATGGAAAGGGATCCATAACTGAATAAGACCTTGTCTTTTTTTTTTTTTTTTTTTTTTTTTGAGTGCTGGGGATTGAACCCACGGCTGCTTTAACATTAAGCTACATTTCAAGCCCTTTTTAATTTTTATTTTGAAACAGGATTTCACTAACTTACTTAGGGTTTTACTAAGGTGCTGAGGTTGGCCTTGAACTTGCAATCCTCCTGCCTTAGCCTCCAGAGTCATTGATATTATGGGCATGCGCCACAGCACCTGGCATAAGACCTGGTCTTTATCTTCACAATACAATGGAAGAAATAGCTTTTAAGTGTGTAGTTATGATCTAACATAGTTTTAAGTAGAGTTTTGGGGGCAAAGAGCAAACCCTGATCTGCTCATTGTGATGGAAAAAACACAATCCTTCATGTCTCTTTTTTCAGAGCTATCTATTTCAGCTGCTTCAGGGCCTAGCTTTCTGCCATTCTCATCGGGTCCTGCACCGAGACCTTAAACCTCAGAATCTGCTTATCAATGCAGAGGGGGCCATCAAACTAGCAGACTTTGGATTAGCCAGAGCCTTTGGAGTCCCTGTTCGTACTTATACCCATGAGGTAAGTCCCTCTACACATTTCCTCTCTGATCATCCTGGGAAGTATTAACAAGGGCATTCACAAAGTTACTAAAAATATGTGGCAAATAATTTCTCTCTTGGTAGATGGAAAGAATCTCTGACACCTTAAGTAGACCTTGGTATATACAGAAGTCATAATTTAGGCAAATTGGGCTTAGATTTTAAGCCAAGACGGTTAGATGGCATACTGTTAAAATTATGACCATTTGTCTCGAGTTTTTCAGGAAGGTCTCAAATAGGGGTTCAGAAAATGTGGTTCCTAGAGTAATGGACTAAGCTAACTCTGGGCTAAGAACTTGTGTGTAGTCGTTTCTATTAGAAGAAATAAAAAGGAGAGAAAGAAACTACTTAGAGGCTGAGAGCAGAGTTTTGTTGAGGAGTTGAGTTGTGGGAATCTCCATGTCCTATAAACCATCCCTCTCCTTCCTATTCTTGTCCCCTAGGTGGTAACACTATGGTATCGGGCACCAGAAATCCTTCTGGGATGCAAATACTACTCCACAGCGGTGGACATCTGGAGCCTGGGCTGTATCTTTGCAGAGATGGTATGGAAGCTTGCCCAAGTTTCACCCCACCTACTCCTCCTCACATGCAATAACAACAGAATTATTTTTTGGCTCAGCACTATGGCCTTTTGTCACAGAGTTCACCAGATCAGCACCAGGGGCAGGATTTGGGGAGATAGGACTATTGCCCTTGATATCAACTACAAAGTTAGAATGTCCTCAGACAGACTTAGTATCTAGTATACATCTCTTATCACTGAAGTGAGCTAAATCATTTATGTGGTTGTTAAGCTGTTTTAGCTTTAGTCTGCATATATTTGGAAGAATGAGTTCCATTTAGTGCTTCCTTCTTTTGGCTTATATACCTTGTTGCTGAGGCTGGCTTCAAATTTGTGATCCTCCTGCCACAGCCTCCTGAGTGGCTGGGATTACAGGCATGTGCCACCACACCTGCCCTGTATACTTTGTTGTAGGGTGCCAAGAAGGTAGTGAAGCCAACTGTATTTATCTATACCCTTCATTTAATTACAGAGTTCAATCATGTCCCCCCTCAACCTCTGGCTTTTCAGATTGAAGGATCCTTGAGGCCCAGCCTTACATGGGCTCTTCCATCCTCTTTAATACAACAGTGGAGTAAGCTGAGTCTTCAAATCAGCAAAGACATTTTGTGGCCCTTTATCTGGGTTATAACTGGTGGCTTAGAGACCATTAGTCTATAAATAAATAAATATTATATACACACACACACACATATATATAAACATACATAATGTGCATTTATCCCCCAGTGCATTACCTTACAATTGCCCATATTCCTCTCTCAATTCATCAACAAATATTTGTTAAGCACCTAGTGTGTACCCAGCACCATGCTAAGTGCTGTGGGGAACACAGAAGAAATGGAAGACACAGTCTCTGCCCGCTGTGCTCCTATCTAGAAGTGGCTGCATCACAAGGAGGGGGGATGACCGCAGTGTCTACCCCACACCCCGTGAGTGGCTTGGGATCCCTTTGCTACACGTCAGTGGCACCCCAGACATTCACCCCCTCCCAGCCCCACCCAGCCTTGGGGATCTGCAAAGCCATGGTTGGGGGAAGGAAGGAGGGGGAAAGGAGACAGATGAAGAGACTTCATTGTCTCAGGTTCTGTGTGACCGACCCCATGWAAGGCCCTGGGGAGGGAGTCATGGGGCCCTGCTGACCTTCTACTGCCTGTGGGAACCTCCTTTGACAGGGGATAGTTTGACTGACACCATTGTGGGTCTTGGCTTTTCCTCTTTTCCCATTTTCAGGTGACCCGCAGGGCCCTATTCCCTGGAGATTCTGAGATTGACCAGCTTTTCCGGATTTTTCGGACTCTGGGGACTCCAGATGAGGTGGTTTGGCCAGGAGTTACTTCTATGCCTGATTATAAGCCTAGTTTCCCCAAATGGGCCCGGCAAGATTTTAGCAAAGTTGTGCCTCCCCTGGATGAAGATGGACGAAGCTTGTTATCGGTAAGAATGGGGAGTGGGCACCACATTCATTCCCTAAGGGAAGGGCTTTTCTAGGGTGAAGGAAGGCTGACACCCTGAATGCTGGGCCTCAGCTTTTCCCTAGTCCTTTGCTTCCCTGTGTCAGCATGCTGGTTCATATATATGGGAGGAGGGAAATGAGAACCTGTGTAAAAGTAGTCTGGTTTCCTGATTTCTAAGAATGTGTTGCTGCCCACTTAGTCTAGTGTCACATCACTGAAGTCAGCATACATCTTTCCCTCTAGCAAATGCTGCACTACGACCCCAACAAGAGGATTTCAGCAAAAGCAGCTCTGGCTCACCCATTCTTCCAAGATGTAACCAAGCCAGTACCCCACCTTCGACTCTGATGTTCTTCCCCAAGCCCTCACCCCCAGTCTCACTCTGTCCTCCAGTGTGGGTTTGACCTGGCTTGACTCTGGGCTATTTGGACTCAGGTGGGCCCTCTCATCTTTTCTGGGTGCCTTAACACTTGCCTTCCCCTCTCATCCAACCAGCTCTGGGCATCCAGAGGTAGAGAGGAGGAATAAGTGAAAATGTAAAGAAGTTTCAGTATTAGATGCACTTAACTCAGCTTCTGCCACCCTTTCTCTCTTTTTTTAGTCATTGCTGAGGAGGGCTGGTTTTCAAAACAAAACAAAACTGACTGTTCTCTCCCCACATGGGGTTTGCCATCCCAATTTCCTGCGTTTGGGATGACCAGTGACCCCAGGCCTCCTGCTGCCACTGTTTTTGTAAAGACCAGAGGATAGCAGGAGGCAGAGTTGGAACGTTTGAGAACCAAGCAAAACAAAACCATGGGGAGGGATCTATTTTAAAGAATTAGGTTAAAAAATAGATCCAATCAGTTTATACCCTAGTTTTAGTGTTTCATCTTGCCTAACAGGCTGGGAAACTCAAGACAGAGCCCCATTGGGGAAGCAGAAGAAATGATTACCTATAGACCCCTTGTCTGCCCCTCCTAGGGGCCAAGAGGAGTCTGGGAGGCCCAGGGGACAGGGATTGTGCTGCACTCTGACCTGTTGCTTCACCATGGCCTTATGAGGCAGGTGAGATGTTTGAATTTCTCTTTTCCTTTTATGATTTTAGTTCTTGCCAGGGATCTCTGCTCCCATCTTCTTGGGAAGTTGTCTCTTACCCCATAAGAGTGAAGTTAGGGTCTAGATATCATTTGGAGAATGCTGGTACTTTTTCAGGGTTGTGCCTGAGTGGGGGCATTGGGAAAAAATTATTTCTTTAAAAGAAGGATGAACAATTATATTTATATATCAGGTTATAGTTGTGTTTTTTTTTTTGTTTTGTTTTGTTTTGTTTTGTTTTTGTCTTTTGTCAGAGTGGCTGGATTTGTTGCCGTGTGCACCTTGGGGTTTTGTAATTTTAATGTTTAAAAAAAGTACTTTTTCTTTTTATGATTTTGTCTCTCATCTCCCACCCTGTCCTTGAGTGCTCTTTCTCTATTAACATTATTTGTAATTTAGTTTGTAATTCATTAAAAGAAATGTTCCTAGTTTTATAGTTCATCTTCTTCCTCTTTAAGATTTATTATTTACTTAAAGAATGGTGTGGGAAAGAATCTGAATGTGTGATAACTGATTTCAGATCCCTTTTTTTCTAATCTGTGTTTATACAGGGCTACCTTCCCACCCATTTTACAGCTGGGGGAACTAAAGCCTCTGTGTTTTCTTTTTTCTAGTTGTACACAATATCTTTATTTTTTATTTATGTATTTTTATGTAGTGCTGAGGATTGATATCAGTGCCTCACGCATAGTAGGCGAGCGCTCTACCCTGAGCCACAATCCCAGCCCTAAAGCCTCTTTATTTTCTGGTCAACTTTCCTCATGGACCAGCAGCTCCCCTTCTCCAAATACACATCACTGTACAAAGACGTAAGAAGTGGCTGTTATAGAATTCCCAAGCTAGGAAGGGTTTAGGAGTAGCAATATGGGTTGGAAGTGGACTCCAGGGGAATTCGCCTTGACACTTCATTTTCCATTAAGCTCGCCACTTTTCCTTTTTGTTGCTTATCACAAACAGAAAAGCCCTTTACTAAAGATTCTTTTATTTACATTTACATGCGATTCAGAAAATATCAATTGTCTATATGAAAAATTATCAGGAAAGGGCTAAAATGTCTTCAAGCTACCACTTTATGTAGTTGCCAATGACTCCCTCCACCAAAAAACAATCTCAGACCGCGAGTCACCTCCAAAACTCCTGTCCTCTGAAGCCCCACTAAAAATTAGGAAGTTCTGACGTGAAGGTTACTTAAATTCCCAGGATCCAGCTCCCTAAGAAAAGCGTTTCCCTTTACGCCGGCGAATTTGTCACAGAGGGAGGGGCGGTAGTCAGCCCCCCGCCAAATCCAGGGGGAGGGGCGAAGGTCAGTAGCGGCTTCCTAAGGCTTGTACGACCTCGCCTGGCCTGCCACTCAAGTCCCGAACTTTTGTAGTACTGGTTAAAGTTTCACTTTGACCCGCCTCCATCACTCACCTGATTAGATGTTTATGAGTCAAAAGGCGGGGTCATGGGGTGTCGAGATTTTATTGGTTGAGACATATGCCTGTTAGCGCAGTGCCGCCCCATGTTTCCTGGAGCTCTCTTTAATGGCTCCTTACCTCGTTCATCTTCAAGGCTTCTCTCTTAGTACTGGTTTGGGGATCCGCCTTTCCAATCCTTTAGGAGATAGAGCCCCTAAAGACCCGCCTTTCTCCAGAGGATTGGCGGATGAATGCACATATAGCCCACCCTCGACGGTAGGCGGGTAATCGTGCTATTGGCTGAAGCCCCTGCCCCGGGGCTAGGAGGAGGAGGAGGGGCAGGAGGGTTTGGTTGAGCTGCAGCTGTTTGTCTGTTCGACACAGGCTCGGGCCCGACGGGGGAGACGGAGCCCCAGGTACCGAGCTGATGGAGCCCACAAGGGCGGAGGCACCCGGGAGATGAGAGCTGCCTGGCCTGAGAGAGGAGGCGGGTGTGGGCCTAAGCGAGGCGTTAGAGTGGCCCACTAGAGAGGGGAGAAGGGGGCCGGCCCCAGCAGGCCTAATGGGGGCGCTGAGGAGGGGATCGGGCGGGCTGGGAGCCCGAAGTTGGGGAGGCTCCTGGGTGCTGGGGGTCGGGTGCGGGAGGCCCAGAACCTCTGTGAGGGCAGCCGCAGGCCTCATTACCCATTAAGCAGTGCTGAAGAGGGAGGAGCTGGGGAAAGGGACGGGGCTGCGGGTGAGGTAAGCCCATTTGCCGGGAGGTGAGGAGGGGTCAACCCTGACGCCCGGCTCGGAGGGTAACCGAGGCTGATTTGTGTAATTGGAAGGCCTGAGAAGGGTTGGTTCTTAGCTGGGTGAGAGGCATTATTTTCAGGGAAAGTGGCTATTGTAAAGAGAACTGAGGGTGCACCGCTAGTGTTGAGTCGAGAGGGATTTGGGCTCACTGAGGGAGAACTGAGGCATTACTGATCTAGAAAACCAACGTAGTTTGAGCAAATGGAAGGAGAGCCTGGTGTCAGTTTGGGGAGCTTCTGGGAATGTGTTCAAGGGTGGGCTGGAGACTCTGGGTCTTGGAAGTACTGACTCTTTTTGTTCTTTAGTGCTCAGATGTGGTAATCTGAATTTTTTTCTTTCCTTTTTTTTTTTTTTTTTTTTTGGTACTCCCAGGGTAGGAGATAAGACAAATGTAAACTTTTTTTCCCCCCTGACTGTTGGGCTGCTCCACCAAACAGCCCTTACTCTTTCTCTTGGCTTTTTAGCTGGTTTAGAATGTAGTCTGTTTCTTCTGTTTCATATCTTGTGAAAGAGCTAAGAAGTTGGATTTGGGGGATGTTTTTATCTGTTGCTTTCCCATTTAATAATGTGGCCTATACCGAATAGTATATTTTTTACCTAGAAGTGGGGAATGATTCATTGTCTGCATGGAAAGKGGCTTTGAGCCTCCCAGCCATCAAAAGATCTTTTGATCATAGTTGGTGAAACTTTTGAGAGACTTAGATTTGGGTATTTCCCAGGCAGGTAATGGAGTTAACCAGTCCGGGAACTGTGAGGTGATATCACTGAGGAAGAGATTTGGGAAAGAGAAATTCCATTCCAGAAGGTTGGCATCACCTCTTGTTCTTTGTCTACTTCTTCAGGAGCCCAGGAATGCAATTAAAAAGTTGGGTCAAATGGTGAGGTATTTTATGAAGATGGATTACTAAGGCAAAGAAGTAGAGTGTCACCTCCCAGCCCCCTGGCTTTTTTTCCTTTTCTTTTTGCTGTACTGGGGTTTAGCTCAGGGATACTCCACAGTTGGGCTACATCCCCAACTCTTTTTATATTTTATTTGGAGATAGGGTCTGGCTAAGTTGCTGAGGCTGGCCTGCAACTTGTGATCCTCCTGACTCTACCTCCCAAGTAGCTGGGAATTTAGGCACACACTACTGCACCCAGTCCATATATTTTTAATGGTCTGCTGACCTTTTAGTCTCCTATAGATTGGAGCCTATGGATTTTCCCTTTGGGTACTTCCCCATCTTTCCCTTCTATACCAGTATATCTTATCACTACATTTTTTTTTAATTACCAAAGTAATATATACATATCTTAAAATATTTAAGTGCTATGAAGTATCAAAAATGTAAATTCTCCCACACATTATATTTCATTTAGGAAGGTCAGAGATCAGAGACAGCAGATCAGACTAATCTTTGTTTTGGGGATTTACCACCTAAGCAATTCTGTTTTCATGTTCTCACTAAATTCTTTTTTTTTTTTTTTTTTCTTCTCACTAAATTCTGTTCTCATTCTTTCTAGTTTTCCCTTCTTGGATGATACTTTTATTTATTGTGCTCCTTTCACAGTTCATTTTATCTTCTATCCAATTCAGATAAGCAGAGGGTTGTACTGCTTGTTTGCATCATTGGGTTATCATTTTTCTTTCTTCCATATAAATACACAGGCCAGTTGTGCATTGGGTATCCATGCCCAAATAGATGGACAAAGTATTTTTCCTCTTTTTAGGGAAGGAAAGAAATCTGAAGGTTAATCATTTTTTTTTCCCCCTGGGGTTATTATTGTCATCTCTGCTACAAAGTGAAGCATTTGAGATTTCTGTCCTGGTATTCTTTGTATGTGGGCAGTATTTAACTGTCCCTTATCTCAGAAGATGGTGATGATTGCCTAAGAGGCTTTGGTATTTGACTTTCTATAGTGACCTGAGAAGTTCCCAAGTTTCTCTGGATTTGAAATTGGTTTCCTTAGATTCAGTACAGCTGAATGATACCACATTAATAATTGAATTTGACCTTACTAGCTTTAGAAGGCTTCTAATACGTTCAACCTTTTTACACTACCCAGTGGAAACCTCAGTTATTCCCCTACCACCATCACAGAACTTTTCTCACCTGAAAAACCAGTCCTAGAGAAAACTAGGGGTATGTGTGTGTATTAATCCTCTGTAGTCCTTGTCACTTATTAAACTTTGGTGGTATCCTGTTCTGTATGTTTCCCTTCCTCCCACCATCTTCTTAATCAGAGATTACTTTTAAGAAAGGTTCTGGGGTAGGGGGATTGCTCCATGGTAGAGTGCTTGCTTAGCATTTGAGAAGCCTTGGGTTGAATCTCAGCACCCAAAAAGAAAGAAAAGGTATGCAATTGCTCAAATTTAAAATGTAAATAGCACATAATCCCTAAAAATATTCTCCCATTGGCTTGTTCATCTTAAGAAAGTTAATGAGTGGAATTATCAATGTGGACTTTCAAACAAAAATATGTTTGGAGAAGAGGGTTTTTCTCTTGCCCTTGATCATATCTCAATCTTTTAATGCTTACTTTTCCTGAGAACAAGGATTACTCTTCTATAGTTTGTTTGTGTGTATTAATATGAATTTGACTTCTGAGAAGAAGGCATGCAGTAGAAGCAAGCATACAGCCCACTCCCTAATCCTAAAGCATTTCTGATTGGAAAGTAACCAAAATATGAGACCGTGAACTTAAAATAAGGAAATGCACCAGTCCTTTGGGAGAAAGGGTACCATAAAACCCTACACATTATATTCTTCTCAAGAGTGTTTTAGGAAAGATTTAGTCATTGACTGTGAACAGTAACTAAGCTGAATAAGGAGCCACCCAGCTAAGCAGATTTCTGGGACAGGCTGTAGCTTCAGTTTAGGGGTAGTGGGTACCTTTTCAAAGTGTCTCCTGGCTCTGTGGTGGTATGAATTTCTTTATAAAACTTACTTATCAAGTCCAGGAATTAATAGAGGTAATGACTCAAAGCTTTTTAACTACTTAACATCAATCTTTAAAACAGGGAATTTTGTTTTTAGGCACAACCACTTCAGTGTTAGGGTGAGAGTGCCACATACTGGTTGTGATTAGGCCATCTGAGACATGGTAACAGGAAAAGCAGTTAACCCATGTGAGTTACAACAGTACCTTTGTGGGCTGGGTCCCAAGGGGGCCCCCCATTCAAGGGAGATCACAAAGAGTCCAGGGAGAGACCTTTCTGAGGCCTATTAAAAACATTCCCTAGCCAGGCACAGTGGTATACACCTATAATTTCAGTGAATCTAGAGTCTGAAGCAGAAGTACTGCAAATTTGAAGCCAGGCTTGGCAAGACCCTGTTGCAAAATAAAGTTTTTTTAAAAGGTGGAGAGGGGCTGGGGATGTATCTTGGGTAGAATGTGCCCAGGTTTAATCCTTAGTCCTGGGGGGRAAAAATCCCAAACAAAACCGAGTGAGATCTATTTAGATGTCACAATAGGGGAGTGAAGCAGGATTTCTTTGGTCCTTACAAGCAATTTAGGGAGCATTTAATCAGCACCTACGAGGGACCAGGCATTGTACTCTACTCTGAAGAGTCATGATATCAAAAAATACTCCTACTTTGTGAGCAGTTTATAGTTTACCAGATACACAATTAACTATAATGTGATAAAGGCTATGGTAGAAATAGTCTTAACACTGTGAGACCTTGTGTGAGATACTAGAGAAAGCAATGATGAATTCTGCTGTGGTAAGAAGATAATTATGCAGTTTCACAGAGAAGTGACATTTGTTTTGGCCTTATAAGATATATTAGGATTTTGCTAGGCAGAAAAAGTAGGGAAGGGCATTCCAGCCTTTCCTAGGTCAATAACAGAGTTTGTACTACCATCTGATAAGAGATAAGTATGTGTTTTGCCTCTTGGAGAACTATAAGGGAGAGGGTGGGGGAAGTAGAAGGACTTTCATTTAAGGCATGAGTCATTGGATAGCATTGGATCAACACAGTGAAAGGTGAGTTAAGTAGCATAGTTCAAGATTTTAAGTAGCATAAATTCAAGGTTTGGGCGATTTGTATCTAAACAAAATTGGAAAGGAGAAAAAGGCATTTACTGGCTTCTGCTCTATAGTCCATGCTTAGTAAATCTCTCACATTAGTCTTAAGACCCACCAAATGATGTAAAAGTTACCAGTTCCTTCCCTATTTTCTCCCAATTGAAAATTGCTTCAATTCCAACTGTCCTGGCAGAGAATGGTTAAGACCATTTAGAGAGAGGAACTGTTAATTAATCATTCTGTCAGATGAATATGGGATGTGGGCTGGGTTTGTGGCTCAATGGTAGAGCGATCGCCTAGAACATGTGAGGCACTGGGTTCAATCCTCAGCACCACAGAAAAAATTGATAAATGGGGAGGAAAAAAAGGTATCTATCTACAACTAAATATATATATATATATATATATATATATATTTTTTTTTTTTTTTTTAAGAAGAAGAAGAATATGAGACTAAATCCTGGTTTCTAGGGAGGGCCTGGATATTCCTAATTTGTTTTTAATCCAACAGGCAGTATTTTTACCTATACTGAAGAGGCAGGAAATATCCATTCTAAATCCATGTCCCTGTCCTGGTGTCTACTTAAGAGTTTATCATTTTCTGCTTCCTTAAGAAATATATTGTTGAGCTGAGTGTGGTGGCGGGTACCTATAATCCCAGCAGCTCCTGTAATCCCAGCTGCTTTTGGAGGCAGAGGCAAGAGGATCACAAATTTGAAGCCAGCTTCAGCAATTTAGCAAGGCTCTAAGCAATCTAGTGAGAACCTCTTCCAAAATTAAAAAAAAAGGGCTGGGGATATGGCTCAAGCGGTAGCGCGCTCGCCTGGCATGCGTGCGGCCTGGGTTCGATCCTCAGCACCACATACCAACAAGAATGTTGTGTCCGCCAAGAACTGGAAAATAAATATTGAAAATTCTCTCTCTCTCTCTCTCCCTCCCCCTCTCCCCCCTCTCTCTTTAAAAAAAAAAAAAAGGGTTGAGGTTGTATCTCAGTGGTAGAGTGCTTGCCTAGCACATGTAAAACACTGGGTTTGATCTTTAGCACCACATAAAGGTATCGTGTCCATCTGCAACTAAAAAAAAAAAAAACTCAGTGGCTAAACTCCCCTGGGTTCAGTTCCTGGTACCAAAAAGAAATATATTGGTGCATGCCTATAATCCCAGCTATGAGGCAGAAGGATCATAAATTGGAGGCTGGGGATATAGTTCAGTGATAGAGCACTCCTGGGTTCCATCCCCAGGACCACAAGAAAAAATAAGTGATGCAGATGCACCACTTATTTTGTAAGTGTAATCCCAACTACTTGGAGGCTAGGACAAGGGGATTATATGTTTGAGACCAGCCTTGGCAATTTAGATCCTGTCTCAAACTAAAAAATTATAAGAGCTGGAAATGTAGTTCAGTGGCAGAGCACTTACTTAGCACATGGGAGACCCCGAGTTTAATCCCATCAATCTTCAGCATGAGGGTGGGATATAAAAAAGGAGAAACACTTAGTAGCTATTGATAGCTGGCTGTATTTAACACTTGGCAAATTGACTAATTTTATGTGCCTCATTTTCCTTACCTGTAAAATACAGAGACTGGACTAGATCACCTGACCTGCAGATTGATGTGAGTGTGTGTGCGCTCGCGCTTAGCCACTGAGCCAAATCTCCAGCCCTTTTTTTGTATTTTTATTTAGAGACAGGGTCTTGATGAGTTGCCTAGGGCCTTGCTAAATTGCTGAGGCTAGCTTTGACTTGATCTTCCTGCCTCAGCCTCCTCACTTGCTGGGATTATTGGTTGTGGG